TAGTAGTAGTAGTAGTAGTAGTAGTAGTAGTAGTAGTAGTAGTAGTAGTAGTATCATCATCATGATAAATATCGTTATTGTTGTTGCTGCTGTTGTTGTTATTTTTTAAATTAATTATTATCACTAATTATAATATGAACACTGTTATATACAAATTTAAGTCATGCTGATGTCAACATTAATTGAGAAAAATTTGTCATTAATAACAATGCCTATTCCTCCATGTGGTACAAACAGGCAGAAATGACCAAGCCCATCACGTTCATGATACAACATGGTACGGGTTACACCACTCAATCACAACAACCTGATCTTGGTGTGCACAAGGCAAGGACGATAAATCTACACGTCCTCACTAGGATGTGTACTCGGTTGCTCTATTGATTAAGCATGACAGCGGTTTTACACAAATTAACTTCTTTCTTCTTTCTGGGCGTTGTCCGTCCGTCCACTGTAGATTGTTGCACTCCAACAACGATCTCCACTCTTTTTCTTTCATCAGCTGTTTTTTCGTGTCTAGGCTGTATACCTGTCTGCGCTCTGGTGTCATTTTGCCACCTTCTCTCAGGTCTCCCTCTCGATCTTTCTCCTGTCTTGGTCTCCATTCAGTGCACCTATTTAATATTTTATCCATCTGCTGTCTTTAACTCTTGCCGAAGTAGCCAGCTTCATTTCCATTTTTGTCGCAATAACAATATAATAGTATAATTATTAATATCATGTCTTTATGGGTGTTTTGTTGTTTGTGTTACTGTTTCTGTTGTTTGTTTGTTTGTTTGTTTGTTTGTTTGTTTGTTTGTTTGTTTGTTTGTTTGTTTGTTTTCACTTGCTGATGATGGTGTTGTTATCTTGGTTATAAGTATCATTATTATTGGTAATAATATTGTTATTGATCTTTTTGTGATTGTTGTTTATTATTACTTTTATTACGGGAGATCAGAGAAATCCACGCCACCAAAATATTATGTCCTTTCCTTTTCCTGCCAAATGCCCCGAATAAAAACGAATTTCTGTAAGAGGAGATCAATGTCACAACCTTGGCTGGTCACTGGTCACTGCCTGGAGCACGTCCGTCATCTGCCTGTTGCACAAACTGGAGAAGTCCGGCAGACGACGAGTTTATTTTTAGTAACTTTAGTGACGCAAGCACTTTTCGTCTCGGGTAAGCTCAGAGACGTCGCCCACGGGTTTGCATTACGTGTTGTATAAGCAACGCCAAAGACCTTGTAACAGAGGTTATGTGATATAGTTCATACACTGATTATAAGTCTGACAAATCCTATTCTGCACTCTTGAGACCTTCGGCTGCAGGCCTACTTATGGTTGTAAGCAACTAGTCATACTCGCCAAGTCTTTTCTTTTTAAGTTCCTTTTTAAGTGCTGATTATCGGGTAATAGCCTACACCATTTAAAGATACGTCCTTTATTTGCTGCTCGAGTTGTCTCACCAAACACACAAAGAAATGTTCAATCTGCTATACCAACTGAAATCGAGGGAGAGGTAGAGACGGGATGGAAGGGA